AAGCAGACTCCCTGCTGAGCAGGGAGCCCGATGCGGGACTCGATCCTGGGACTCCAGGATCATGACCTGAGCCAAAGGCAGTCGCTTAACCGACTGAGCCACCCAGGCCCCCAAGGTCTGTTAGCTTTTTAATGTGTCAGAGAAATCGAGGAGAACACACATGAGGGTAGGGAGAGAGGTTCTTGAATCTGCTAATGCGATCCAGCATGTGTCCTTCTGGAGAGAGCATTGGGCAGAATGAACAGGTCAGAAGGTAGGTTCAGGGAGCCCCGCCCGGGAAGCAAAAGAATCTTCTATTTCAGGAGAAAGCTGACTCAGCAGTGTCTCTATGTGGACAAGAGGGGGGCTCTGGACTTGAACTGGGGGAACTTTAGAAGCAGTGTGGGTGGTGGTTGAGAGCAGGGCTGTGCGACAGACTAGCTGGGCCACCTGGACTCTGGGCCTTGGTTTCCTCATTGCAGAGTGCAGACAGTGGTGACACCTGCCTCACAGGGACACCAAGCAATAAAGCCGTTTGTGTGTGTAAAGCAGGTGAAGTGGTGTTTGGGACACGTAAACATTGCAGAAGTGCCTTCTTTTATAATTGTTAGGCTGTACCTGAAGTGGGAGGCCCTTGAGTTGAGTCAGGATATTCACCCCAAATAGCTGGGGGTGTCTACCCTAGCACAGCACCCGATTTATTTAGGTGCTCAATAGATGTTGCCTTCTTTTTCCATGTTGATCTTATCTACAGGGTGTGATTGGGAAGCTCTCGTTCAGTTTCATGCGCCTATTCTTTATTTCCAGGCAAAGGAAACCAACAGTAAGCAGAAAGAATTCGAAGAGGCGGCAAAGAGAGTGCGCTGTGCCATCGAGCAGCTGACTGCCGTGGAGTGAGGCCTCTGCCGAGCGCGCTGCTCCCCGGGCTGACCCCTTCCCAGCACCTTAGGGAAGGAGAACATTCACGATTTGAAATTAGAATATTTAAGCTATACTTTTGTTTTTTTCTTGAAAGTGGTGCCAGAGGCTGCTTCTCTTTGTGCAGCTGGTGCTGCTGAGTCCAGTAACCGATTCTCTCATTTTTCTTTGGTAGTTTTTGTGCCATTGGTTCCTGGACTTGCCAGGGTGAGAAGGTGAGAAGCGTGTTCTCGTGGGCAGAGCCCTTCCACAGTGAAGCGCCGGGGCTTCAGGTTGATGGCTGGCTGTGGAGCCTGAGATCTGATGCCTGAACGTAATCATAGGTCTGTTGTGACTGGACAAATAGAGAATTAAGGATACCATTTTAGATTTTATCTGTCTTAATAATCTGAATTTATGGTGTGCATTTTTTGTGTTCCCACTACTCTGTATTCTCTCACTGGGGTATCTACAAGTCCTACAGCCATCCTTCTACCCTGTCAGGTCTGTGGTGCTGCAGCCCTCCTTCCCTCCAGAGCAGATGACACAAAATGCCATCCCTGCCAGAGCCCTGAGCTGCTGTGTGTGCGAAGGGCCTTCCTGCCTGTCTCGTCATTTTGGAATCTTCACAGGGGGAGCTAGCAGAAGCCAACCCCAGGCTGCCTTGAGCCCCCAGGTGTGCCAGAGCCCTTCCGGGACTGAAGCCCAAACGGCAGGGGTGGGTGGAGGAGGCCTGATGTCTTGACAGTAAAGCCAGCCTCTTGCTTGGAGGTCAGTTGAAGATCTGTCACCTCCGGCACGTACCACAGGCACATGGCAAGGTTGTGACATTTCTCTAAAACAGACAACGAAAAGGTCCTTAATGCCAGACAGTGCGCTTTCCAGAGGCCTGGCTCCCTGCTCTGAATGAGCTGTGACACGGATGGGGCAGGCAGGGCTGGGATGAGAGACCCATGGAAGGAATTCCTGGTCTTCCTGTTCCCAGTACTCTGCAGACCACTACTTCCCTTTCATGACGTGGGTTAGGTGGCTGATAAGGCACCTGTCTTTCTAATGTGAACCCCCCTCAAGGAGGACAGAGGGATCAATTAATCTAAAAAGTGGACTGGAAATGACTTTTGGAGGAAACTTTTATAGATAACTTGTTTATATTGTTTGCACTCTTACAGGATCATAGATTTCCGTGAGAGCAGTTAGAGCAGTTAGTCAGTTAGAGCAGTGGTAATAAACCTGGCAGCTGGGGCCCCGTGCTTGTTGCCTCTGACCTGTGGTTTCCTCGTTGGTAACATGGGCCATGCAACCTGTACCACCTCAGCTGGTTTCTGTGTAGGTGCGCGGGGGGACTTGAGACAGAGTCCTCAGCTTCTCCTCAGGCTCTGCAATGTCGCTTTCTTATTTTGTTTGAATTATTACTTCACAGAACAGCACAAACTACAATTAAAGTGAGCACAAAACCGTTCTAAGTCATTGGGGAAATCTGCGTGAGCCTTAGGTGGGTTTGGAGACAGGGGAGCAGGAAATAGGTAGCAGAAACCGTCGTTTATGAGCTTGCTGCAGCGTTAGACAGCCCTCAGGAGCCGTCGGCACATGCTGGTGGCACCCTCCCTGACAGCAAAGCAGTGGCCTGATTCCTTTTGAAATACTTAACTCCAAGCTCTGGGGACTTGGTGGGCTGCAGCAGGGGATCAGTCAGCCCCGGTTGGCTTTCTCTCCATTGCTGCTATACGCCCCCCCCGCCCCACGCTCATCAACATTCTCCCCGTCCCGTCCCCAAGGCCGGCTCACACAGGGCTGAAGCCTGGTGTTACAATGATAGATCTTATTTCTCCCTCCATGAAGAGAAGCTGCAGGGTGGATTAACGGGCCTATTGGAGGTCATCTTGTCATTTCTGAAAAATAAAAACCATTTCATTTCAAACAATGCTGCAGACCCTACTGGCTTTTTAAAATCTTGTCAGGTCTTTGTGGTGGTTCCTTAGCCACCTGCTGCTTCCCGCCTACATGGCTGTGGGGCAGGGATGAGCTCTGGCAGACACAAAGCCAGCCCTGGGCTACAAGGCCCACTTGTGTGTGTCATCTGGACCCATTGCAGCTATAAACTGGCTATGCAAAATGCATCTCAGACTTCTATTTTTCTGCCACATCCCAGTCAGAGAGGGAAGTGTATTTTTCCCTGCAAGCTTGGAAAATAAATTATTTACTGCAGTGATTTCTGTTGGGGGGAAAAAAGCTCTCTAGCCTCTGTACTCAGGTTCTAAGCTGCTTAATTTTGATATTTGTGCCAGTCTGTAAATGGATCCTTCACTGTAATAACGGGCCCTTACAGGCTGTCTTTGTAGAGAAGCTGGGCCTTTGCACAGTGGGCAGTGATGCGGTTCTCAGCTTCGTCAGGCTGTGCTGTGGAGCGAGACCCAGCTGGAGCTGACCCTCAGTCCGTCTTACACACCCCTTCTACAGAGGTATTTTCCAGAGGCCATATTTATCACTGGACCTTAATGACTGTCCACTCGGAACACTAAATAGACCTCCATTAATCAAGCCACAAGCCTTTACCAAGGGCCAGAGCCTCAGGTTTTTTTTCAAATATATGTCCCCTTTTGGGTTCTCCAAGTCTGGTGGGAGTCTGGAAAGGGCTGTGATGGGTGGTTATGGGCTGTCAGGTGCAGAGGGTGGCGTACAGGTTAAGAGGCCTACAGGCCAGCCTCAGGAATCCAAATCCTCCACCTGTCCCCAGCACACTGACAAGTGCCAGCCTGACCAAAAGTGACCTGCCAAGAGTGGAGCCATCGGCCACTGCCTGCAGGTTGGCACCCCCTTGGGGTGCTGACCATTCTGTGCAGGCTGCTCTTAAAGAGAAATAACTCACAATTGCCAATAAAGTCTTATGTGATCTTATCTGCATTTTTTTCATGCAGAAATAGAGACTTTTGCAAAGAGGCAAAGTAGCTTGTCCAAGATCGTACAACTAGGAACTATTAGGGTTGAGGATTGAACCCAGGCATCCTGGCCCCAGAAATGGGCCCTCCCTGATGAATGACGCGGCCCGGCCTTGCAGGTGTGGCTGGGGTTGACTGCCCGACTCCAGAGACAGGGCTATCTTGAAACCATCCCCATTCCATTTTTCACACTGCTTTGTCAGAAAGGCCTTCATTCTATTGAACGGAAACATGTCTCCCCAAGGGTTACATTGATCCTCCTAGTACAACATTTAAAAAAATTTTTTTTTAAAGATTTTATTTGACCAAACAAGTAGAGCAGCAGCAGAGGGAGAGGGAGAAGCAGGCTCCCCGCTGAGCAGGGAGCCCGACGTAGGGCTCCATCCCGGGACCCCGGGATCATGACCTGAGCCAAAGGCGGACGCTTTACCAGCTGAGCCACCCAGGCGCCCCGACATTTTTTTAAATTTTGAACTAAGATTAATGGGAACATGTAAAGATAGTATGAAGGGGCCCCATGTACCCCTCACCCAGTTTGCTCTGTTGTAGCTACAGTAAAATGTCTGTGCTTTTGACATCTAAGGTCTGAGCTGAAAAGAGTTCCATTGTGCAGCCCGCCTTGCTCTGAACCAGAGTTGCCATCACAAAGGGTTTCTTGTCTGGGGCAGTGGTGGTGGTGGTGGTGGGGAATCTAGCTCTTAAAGCAAAAAAACCAACTGCGCTGCAGATTTTCCTCCACTGGGCTCAGCCCACAGCTTTGGGGTCAGTTTTCAGCTGACCAACCAAACTGGGGCCTTAGCTTCTCTGTGGTTATTTTCCCCTTGATCGCCAAGGTGGGGACGTCTGTCTGCCTGTTCACTCAGATGCTTGAGCGCCTACTGTGAGCCAGTGCTATGCCCAGGAATTGAGTGAAGGCCAGAGAGGACTCAGTCTCTCGTCATGAGCTCGGGTTCCAGACCACGGCCAACAAACAGCCGTGTGATGTGCAGACTGAGAAGACAGCTCTGCCTTGGGGGCAGCACGGAAGATCTGAGCTGTCTGTGCAGCAACCAGGAGGAGGCTGCCAGATGACGGAAGAAGGGAACGCTGTGTCCGGTGGAAGGAGTGCAAGTGTGCACTCGGGACTGTAGTGCGTTGTGATGTGGGGGCATCAGTGGTGGACAGATCCTGGTGAGTCCAACATGGCCGTGAGGAGCCCTTCATAGATCCTATTGGTTCCTGGGGATGAGACTAACCAGGTGTGTGGCTGTCTCCCTGTCTGCGCCATGTCCCACACAGGATGTCCGCTGTCCACATCAATGTGAAAGACCTCTGTTTCCAACCTACGACCTCCACCATTTGAGAACCCTTTAGCGTGGTTGGTTTTGACTAGAACAGTGTCTCGAATCTCCCAGGGTGGATTAGCTTCATAATGCACCCTGATTGCATGCACTGACCTATGGGTAAATTAGCAAGGTTCAGTTCCTGTTGGAGGAGTTTGCCCCCGTGCAGTGAGTTGAGTTGTGAAGGAACTGATGCTGCGCGGCTCGGTGATTTCTCCGCCAGTTTCGGCTGCTTCCTCAGCCCTGTGCTGGAGGCAATGCACTGTGGCATCAGCCTGAACCAGGAGGCTCACCTGCCCCACGGCTGTTGCTGGGGTCAGGCATCCTGTTCTTGCCGGCCCTGAAGAGATAGTTGAATATGAGTTTTATAAAAAGGTTTGGGTGCAGCCCTGTTTCTTTGTCACTTATAATCAGAATTTCTTCCATCCAAAGGTTCCTCCTGGCCCTGATTTTGGTGGTAGTGGTCTGATGCTAACTTTGAAGAGGCCCTGACATCCTAGATCACCAAGTGGCTGACCGACAGCTCTAACGATGGGTTATGAGTCTATGGTAGGAGGATGACCAATGAGAAGAGGGGTCATTCCAAAGTGGCACTGTTTCAGAACCAGGCCAGGGTATAATCTGGGTCCATCTTAGGGAAGTAGACTGGTGGAATTCATCCAAGTAGCCCCTCGAGGACCGGTACCTACTGCCTAGGGGACAAACCAGTGGCTCCCAACTACACATTGGGTTTCAAACACTGAAATTTAAAGCAGACAGGGTTAAAAAAAAAATAAAAGTAAAAAAATAAATAAAGCAGACAGGGTGTAGACTGCTAACCTGGCCATCGACACTGCATCGTGAGGGGAATATGTGTACGTTCCTGTGTGGAGCTGCGTGGCTCTGCTGACGGTGGCCTCAAGCAGTGCCGTCCCCGGCCCTGACAGCAGAATCCCCCCCCCCTTTTTTTTTTAAGATTTTATTTATTTGACAGAGACATAGCGAGAGAGGGAACACAAGCAGGGGGAGTGGGAGAGGGAGAAGCAGTCTTCCCGCCGAGCAGGGAGCCCGACGTGGGGCTCGATCCCAGGACCCTGAGATCATGACCTGAGCCTAAGGCAGACGCCTAACAACTGAGCCTCCCAGGCGCCCCAGCAGAATCCTCTTTATGGGGCTGCAAAGAAGACCCTTTCAGACAAGCTCGGGCTGAGAGGCAGGGGTCACTGGGAAGAAGCATATGGAGCGTGCAGCCCAGGGGGGCTCCGCCGGCTCTCCCAGTCTCTCATACCTGAAACACACAAGGCGGCTTTGACCCACCTAAAGCAGTATTGGTCCTTGTCACATTGTGGGTAAATGCTGGGGTCATAATTCACCTTCTCCCCCTGTTCTCCAGCAGGGGCCCTGCACTGCCACCACGCTCCCCTCTTCCCTAGCCCCCCTCCCCTCCTGCTTTTGTAGATGGCTGCCTCGCCTTCATCACCTCCCTCACCTCCTTTGCCCTGTATGCTTGCTGGATTCTTTCACCTGCCCGAGAGAGAAGGACCCCTGGCTGCCACCCAGCTGGCCGAGCAGGGGCTGGGGCGCCCCCACTGCCACAGCAGGGAAGCCCCCAGGCCCGCTCTGTGCCCCAGTCCAACCTTGGGCACGGTGCATGGGAAGAAGATGCACGGCCTGCAGGAACCCAAAACAGTGCCATGGGCTCTGAGTGCCCCTTGAAGTATTGTTTCAGTAGCCTTGCTGCGATGGTTTTTCCTGACCATATTCCTCAAACCGAGAAATGCCTGGTACAGAAAAAGGGGCTAGCACGAACAGAAATGAGAGCCCTGGGATGATCCCGGGTCATGAAGCTACTTCATCTGAGAAGGGTCACCTTCAGTGATGACGTGGACGTAAAGCCCCAGACCCTGTCTGCAGGCTCTGCTCGGACCCTGGGAGGGCAGTGACGGACTGTCCAGGGGCCTGAGAGGAGGCCTTCCCATTGCCCACAGTGGCACCCCAAACAGCCCCACTGTGACAGCCCCCACTACCATGCCTCTTACTGCCTCCTCCTGGGTTCGGGCCCTTTGAGGTCCCTCTGCAACCCACCCCACTAGCGCCTGGCCCATGTCCTAGAAGGTGCTTCACGTGTGTTGGCTGAGTGAGTGATGGAGAGGCAGAGCCCAGCCTCGCCCCCTGGGGCATTTGTAATTTGAAGCTCACGAAGCAACAGCTCCTTGCCAGCCTGCCTAGGCTCTTTGCCCATCCACCCCACTTCACTGGATCCCTTTGGTTAGTCCTGGAGACGGATTAAGACCAGGACCACAGGACCAGCCAGCAGCCAAGTGACCTAGCCAGGCGCGGCTGCCTCCCACCATTCAGGCTGCTGGCTTCCTGGCCAGCGAGGTCAGCTGCCTGCTGAGCCCCCTCCTGGGGCGACGCAGGCCCCACCCTTCCTCCTCCTTAGCCCGGCCATTTGGCGGCTGAGAAACCGGAGGTTTGGAGAGATTTAACACATTTGCCCAGGGACCCACTCCAGCAGCCAGCTCCTTGGGGACGCTGGGATTTGAACCCAGGTCTGTGGCGGGTGTACCTGCGGCTCTGAGACTTCCTTCTGTCCCCTGGGCCCGAGCTCTGCAATCGCTGTCGCCAAGAGGTGGGACCGATCTTCCTGCGAGCCTGGGGGGGCGTATCGCGAGGCCCGCGCGCAGGCAGAAAAGGGGGCGCCACATCCAGAAGAGCCTCGGAGCGGACGCGCCACAGCTTGCCCCCCTGCCGCCTCCCCGCATCCCCTCAACTGTGACCCCTACTCCTCCGCGCCCCGTCCCTGGCCCAGCTCACCAAATCCCGGGCGCCTCCTCCCCGGACAGGCTCCCCCACTCCCCGCTTCCCCTCTCCCCACACTCTCTCACTCCCTCGGCCCTCTCCACTCCCCAAATCCCCGGGTCCCGCGTGGCCTGGCGGGGCGCGCTGCTCAGCTTTGCACTGCTGGTGGCCGCAGTGGCCAGCGACTTCTGGTACGTCCTGGGGGTGGCGGACGCCGGCAACAGCACGGGGCGCGCGCGCGGCTGTCCTTGCACTCCGGGCGCGGCTCTGGCGCATCTGCGAAGGTGGGGCGGCGGCGGGCCTCCCACTCCCCATCCCGGACTCTGTTCTCTCCCAAAACCGGGCAGTGACAGTAGGGCTACCAGTCCGGGGTCAGAAATGAAAGGGTTGGCGGGGGGGTGGTGGGGGGGGTGCATTGCGTGGCCCCATAAGGAAGCAAGAGCCTGGGGAGCAGGAGCCCCGGGCAGTCCCTTGTCTTCCCTGGCGGGGGCGGGGGTGTCTTCTGTTAGGAGTTGCGGGCACATTACTTGGTAGATGACAAGTCAACCCCAGGCTCTCAGTGGGCTCTGCCACGGGCTGCTGCCTGACCTAGGACCTGGTCCCTCCTTCGCCTCCAAGTCTTCGTCAGATGGGGAGAAAGCGATACTTCTCAGGGTGCAAACGGGTGGGGGATGGTTGGAGGAATGAAGGGGGAAAGCAGGGGCAGGGCCCGCCACCCAGGGCACTGGGCTGCTGTTCTTCCTCAAGCAGGGGCGTGGGCGCTGAGGTGGGAGCGGGTGTGGGGCTCTGGGGGGCCTCCGGGAAGGCCCCGGGTCCACATCCAAGTGACCACGAGTTGTTTCTCAATTGCTGTCCCCAGAGGTTCAGCCTGGCACAGCCAGGGCTCTGGGGTAAGACCCCTGTTTCTCTCCACCTTCCCCCACCACCACCACCTGATGGCTTGGCGCGCACTTGGGCACCAAACAGGAGTGCTGCATGCCTTTCGGACCCGCAGAGAGAGGGGAAGGCATTCCCTCCACAAGGCCTGCGTGACGGGGCAGCCAGCAGGCTGGGGGCCTCCCCTGCACAGGAACAGCACTGGGGGGAAGCAGCACCTGGGAGAGCGTGTGAACGCGTGCGTGCATACATGTGAGCCTAGGTCAGTGTGAGTGCGAACGTGTGTGCATGAATCTGAATGTGTGAGCATGTGTCTAAGAGAGTATGCGTGTGTGCATGTGAGTGTATGTGTAGGTGACCATGAGTGTGTGTGTGCACATGCCTGCATGCGCATGCGTGACCATGCTTTCCTCCTTGGCAGCTGGGGAGGAAAGATGAGCTGTTGGTTCAGCCACTGAACAGACTGGGCCTAATGCTCCCAAGCCCTCCTGGCGTGTGCACGTGTGTGTCTGCAAATGCACGTGGGTGTGCACGTGTGTGTGCAAGAGTCAGTCCACATTACACACACCTTTTCCTGTCCAGGCAAAGCCACACGTGAGCATGCTCAGGGCCCCAAGCCAATGGGAGTGCTGAGGGCAGCGTCTCTCGAATGTGATTTTTAGACCAACATCCACGTAGGTATTATTTGTATATTACAGAAACAAAACAGAAGATCTTAAACCCTCCAAACCCATTTGGAGCCACAACTCTGGGGTCCAGGAGAGAATCTGACGGGGCTCCATGGCCACTGGTCAGCCCACTTGGTTCTGGCAGGGGTGAGAGCATGCTGTCCAGCGTGTCTGCTGGACCACCCATCTCAGAGAAACTCAGGGTGGGTGGTGACCCCACAGGTGTCCAGCCCACCAGGCTTTGTGTCCTTTCTGCTTCTTAGGGCAAAACAGCTGCATCCCCCTGGTCGACCCCTTTGCCAGTGAGACCTGGATGTCCCCACCTCCGTGCAGCACATCTGTGAGTCCTGCGGCTGAGTCATGCCCTGTTTGTCCTTAATCTCCAGGCAAAACTGTCCTGTGAAGGTGGACCTCCAGGCAGACAGGGCCCTGAAGTGCTCACTTGGAGCTGCTTGGGGGGTGGAGGCAGGTCCAGATCCCTGCCTGGACGCTGAGCCCCCTCTCCTGGCAGCCCTGCACCGAGCTGTCATGGTGGTCCTGCCCCTGAGCCTCGTCCTTGTCGTGTGTGGCTGGATCTGTGACCTCTTCAGTTCCCTGGCACAGAGCGTCCTGCTGCTGTTTTTCACCGGCTGCTACTTCTTGCTGGGGGGTGAGTGTGGGTGCCCGGGGGCACGGGTCCTGGGAGTGAGGGGGTCTCCTCTCCTGCCCCCCTGTCCTCTGCTCCCATCTGGCCTGTGCTGAGCCTGGGCCCACCCAGGGGATTGAGCTGCAGCAGGCAAAAGCCCCTTGGGTAGTACTGGGCCTTTCTAGGGACAGGGGCAGGGGTGCTGGCTGTGGGCCTCGAGCCAGGGAGGCTGAGCTTCTAGGCACGGGAGGCATGAGGCTCCCCAAGGCGATCCTGCACCTACCCTCCTACACCTGCACGAGGGGCATGAGACCGGCCCCCTTCCTCCCCTGTTCTCCTCCCCTTCACTGGCCTGGTGGGAGGAACAAGAGTGGGCAGGCCCAGGCAGTAAGACAGGTGGAAAGGGGCCTCGCAGCCCTTGGCAGTGACCCCGGTCCGGGCCCAGAATGTGACTGGTGACAGTTCCTCAGCTGACATTCATCTAGACTCTGCTGGGCGCCGGCCAGGCACTCCCTCGGGGCTGCAGCCATGGCCTCCCTGTGGTCCCAGCTTCCTGAGATGTCCAAGGATTCACCAAGGTCAGCAGGAAGCTTGTCCCAGGGATCCCATGCCCCCCGCTTTGGTGCCCCCTGCTGCCCAAGGCCGGCTGTCACTGATGGTGGGCTGGGGCTCCTTGGGGTCAGTCATCAGAGGCCTGTGCTGTCGGGGGCGAGGCCTGAGCTGGGTCTGGCATCCGGGCCAGGTCTACTGTCAAGGCCATGGCACTTGAGGCCCAGACCACATGGGCTTAGGGCTCCCTCTGGGGCAGCCCTGCCTCCTCCCCAGAGGGTGCTGGGCCCTGTGGGAGGCCTTGGTCAAGTGGGAACGGGCGGACCTGCCTGGTGCCGAGAGCCTGGGGGACCCGCAGCCTGGGCGTGCGCTGTAGAGAATGAGAGCAGGAGAAGTCAGCATGTCAGCTGTGGCCTGGCCCCAGACACCGGCTGTGTGGGTCCAAATCCAATTAAGAGGAGCTTGGGAAGCCAGGGAGAGGAACAATGAATGGGGTGGGATTGTGTCCAGGAAGCCTTGGCGTTATGCTCTCAGAAACATGGCCTGAGCCAGTGGGTGGAGGGAGGGCCCGGAGGCAGCTACTCAGGGGCGCTCCTCTTCCAAGGGACCTGGTTCAAGGAACACCCCACCTGCTCCGCGTGCCCAGGGTCCAGCCTGGCTGCTGTCCCCGCGGGGGCTGCTTCTTGGCAGTGGGTCAGCTGACATCACTGTCAGCACTCTGTGCAGCGCCAGGAGGAGAGTGTTAGCGTCGGGGACACTGATGGGAGCAGGTGGGGGGTCGCAGACCTGGGGGCAGGCAGGAGGCCTGCAGAAGCTGGAGGCTTAGGCTAGGGCCAGAGGAGCGGCAGGGGTAACCCAATGAAGTGGGGGGCACTGTGAGGAAGGGGGGCCTGGCCAGAGCTCCAGAGCCCCCCGACTGCCAGTAGAGGTCACTGGCTCTGTGTGTGTGTGTGTCGGGGACACTGGGGGATACGGGAGGGTGCTGTGTATGCAGGGGCAGTTATGTGAGTGGGGACTGTTGCTGAGGGTGTAGGTGGCTCTGTTTATAAGGGGGGTTTTGTGGGGTGAGGTCTGGGGGTTTGGGAACTGAATCAGAGCCTCCATTTCCCCCAAAGGCCAGCAGGTAGGGGCTCCTGGTCTGCAGGACTGCCTCGGCCAGGACCTGGTTAGGCAGTTGCCCCCAGCGGGTAGACACAGCGAGTGGCCCCCCTACCCCCCTCCCCCAGGTGCCCTGACCCTGGTGGGGGTCAGCATCTACATCCACTGCTCACACCTGGCCTTCGCCGAGACCGCCCGCCAGCGGCCCCAGCACATGCGGGACATCCGTGTCAGCTCCGGCTGGGCTCTAGCCCTGGCCTGGGGCTCCTGCGCCTCAGAGGCTCTCTGTGGCCTCCTCCTGCTCACAGCAGCCCGAACCCGCAGGCTGAGCCGGCAGCCGGGGGGCCCCCACTCTGTGGTCATCTGAGTCCCAGAGGGGCCCAGTTTCCCCTTTGCACCCACAGGCCTGGCTGGAGTTCTGGCTGGGAGGGGGCCCCTGCAGGGGCAGGGGTTGGGGGCAGAGCCAAGGATCCAGGCTCCTCTTGCTTGGCAAAGCTGGATGTTTGGGGGGCTCCTCTGCCTGGTTTATGCCCTTTAGGGACTAATTGGTTTGGCTTCCTCTTGGGGATGAGAAAAGGGAGTCCCAGAAAGAGTTAGCAAGTGGCCCAAGGGGATGTTAGTGGGGTCGGGGTGGGGTGCTGCAGACTCCTGGTGCTCAGCGGGTCCCCTTGCTTCTCGAGGGCATAGCCTGCCCTCGCCCTCTCCCATCAGCCCTGGTGTGCCATGCTGCCCTCGTTCCTAGGGCCCTGGGTCAGGTGGAGGAGCTACCCTCTGTCCTGGGGAGGAGGGAGTTTGAGAGAGAAGTATCTGGTATCTGTTAAACACCCACTGAGTTAGGCTCCGAGCAGAGTATCACCTGCTCATCTGCTTGTCCAGTCCTCCAGTCTGCCTTCACATTAGTTACCAGTCACCCATTTTACAGAAGGGGAGTCTGAGGCCCAGACCATCCCAGAGCACATGGCAGAGCCAGATGCCCTGACATCTGGTGGGACTCCCAGCCCTCTGTTCGGTCCACTGGCTCAAGGGCAGATGTTGCAGGGGAGGATACTGAGGAGGGGGCCCAGGAGTCCCCTGGGGTTTGCAAGGGCAGCCGAGTGGGCTGGATGCACCTCGGCCCCCTCCCTGTTCTCAGGCCTCAGTCCTTTTCCTGGTGCATCTGCTGCTTCTGCTGGGCTGGTGCTCCAGGACCCTGATCCTCCCATCTGCAGCCCCCTGGGGAATGTCTGTGATTCCAGGGGCCTGGTGGGTGCCCTGAACTAGCAGGTGCGGAAGTCCTAGTAGGGGTGAGGGTGGGGGAGCCGTGCCACAGTGGCAAGGTGAAGGGGCTTCTTAGCCAGGAGGGGCCGGGGCTGCCCAGAGAGGCAGAGGCCGGGGCCTGGAGCTTGGGCCGCAGGTTTACTAAATGGCGTGGGTGGGGCTCAGCTCGCAGACCAGGGCGCAGGCGCACTGTGGCTAGGCACCTGGGTCATCCATCGTGAAGCTCGCTCATTTTCCTGTAGGTAGAGAAGTCGAGGTGGCAGAGAAGGATCCCCAGGGGGCTGTGCAGCACCTGAAGCCCCAGACAGCCCCATCTGGAGTTCAGGAGTCTGGGATGTGTGCGGGGAGTGGATGGCGTCCCCTCTGGCCTTGGTCTACTCTCTCCCAGCCCCCCTTTATCACTCCAAAGGTTACAGGAAGCTCCTTGGGGCCCTGGGGGCTGGCATCATTTGGGGGTCCCACTGAGGGCTTCCCTCCGTACTTATGTTTTAGTGTTTACCATTCAATGTCGCAACGTTTTGCCAATTTGTCCTTAAATAAATCAGTTTATGCTTCGTGCAGATAAGCCTTGTTTTTCTCTCTTAAAATTTTTTCAGAACTGATAAAACAGAATTATAAACAGTGTGTGGGCAGTAACACTGTTACCAGCTGTGTATGTGCGTGTGTGTGTCTGTCCGTCCATCCAGAGACGTCTGTGTGTCTGACCGTCCATCCAGAGACGCCTGTGTGCCTGTCCGTCCATCCAGAGACACCTGTGTGTCTGTCCGTCCATCCAGAGACGTCTGTGTGTCTGACTGTCCATCCAGAGATGTCTTCTGCAGACACGAGCTCCTTCTCTGTGGGTCTGCAGAGGTGGAAAAGGACCCCCCCCCCGCCCACCTCCGCGTTGGAAGGGGCAGCTTGGCAGGCAGGTCCTCTCAGTTTGTGAGGCTCTAACTGGACTTCTCCTGCGGTTCGCTGGGGAGCGGGGAGCACAGGGGTTTGGTTGGGGCCTCCCTGTCTGCCGCGGGGCCTACATGACCCCAGGAACTGCTAAAAACGAGATCCAATCCCAAATCATCTACAATAAAGACATACTCTTTTGTAAGCAGGAAAATTTATTTTTGAAAAAGGAAAAAATATGTAGATGACCAGAGGATAAAGCCCAGCCCCCAACACAGCAGCTAGGGCTCCCTGCCATCCAGCCCTGCTGTGCCTTTCTAATCTCCTGTCACCCTTGCTCCAGTGTCCCCCAGCCCGAGCACGGGACACGCTCATCAGCTGCGGGACTCCGAGCAAATGGCTCAGGGCAGTTTCCTTTTCTGTGAGCTGGGAGCAGAAGCCCTGCCCTGGCTGCTTCCTGGGCTTTGGTGAGGGGCTGGGATGGGGTCCCCCCTGTCTGCCCTCGTGGCACCCCGTCCGGGACACGGGAGGCACCGAGGGCTTGCTGAATGAATGCAGGTGGAAGGCTTCACCCTGAGTGTGGGAAGTCGGGGGTCCGAGGAGACACGGGGGTAACGGGGTGTTGTTTCGTTGCCTCTCTTCCACCTGCTCCCTCAGGACACCTCCACTCCCCACCTGGATCCCGGCCGGGGCACAGGGTCCGGTCACCCCGTCCTCAGGGCCCCAGCTGCCTCAGCACGAACCCCCACTTCTTCAGCACCAGCTCGGTGTCCTGTGCAGAGACGTCGCGGTGCCACACGGCGCGCACCGACCGCTCGGTCCAGGGGAACAGCAGCACATGCACCGCGCGGCCGGTCTGGGCCACCTCGTCCGCGCTCACGGCCTGCAGACGCCGGCAGAGCTCCTCGGGCGGTGGTCCGTGCACCCTCACCATCACCATGTTCGTCTCCACGGCGGCGAGGTCCACGGAGCAGATGGGGGACGCCAGCTCCTGGAGCCCTGGGCCCGGGGCCTGTGGTGAGTGAAGCCCGACCCCAGGACCCCACCCCAGTCTCCAGCATCTGGCCCTGTCGTCCCAGGACAGGCAGAGGGCAGCCCAACTGTAGTGGGGAAAAGAGGGACCCTTGGAGTCCCGCACACTTGGCTCTGCTACTTTTCAGCTGTGTAACCTGGGACAAATCAGTTAACCTCTGGGCCTCGGTACCCTCATCTGTAAAGTGGGGACATGATAGGATTGTTTCGAGGACTCAATTGACAGATGTAAAGACCCAGGTTAGAGGCTCCACTCGGCCAGATCCTGCAGGAAATAGGAATTCCTGACATCCATTGCATGCTTTTGGTCCAGACCCTCCACCCGTGAGGCCTGGTAAAGCATTCTAATTCCCTGGCTTCCACGCCTTGTGGCTCAGGGCTAACCTACATGTTCTAGAGTCAGAAGGACGTACGCCTGCTGGGGATTTCGGTCCTGCTACGGGGGAGCCCCAGGCACTCTTCTGGGAGCAAAAGGAAGTGAGGGTGGGGGGCCATGGTCCAGGTACCTTTGGCGAATCTCTGAGCGTTCCGGTGGTCCGTCGGCAGCACCTCCTCGAAGTCCGCCAGTCCTACTAGGGCAGCGGCAGCCAGCACCCCGGCCTGGCGCATCCCCCCGCCCAGGGCTTTCCGGAGGCGCCAGGCTTCTTCGATGAAGTCCTTGGGCCCCCCGACCAAGGCCCCCACTGGTGCACCGAGGCCCTGGGAGGAAGAGAGGAGAGAGTCTTGCCTGCCAGCCCCCCAGGTGTGCATCTTTGCCCTTGTGGCCAGGGGAGGGGGATGTGAGGTGGACGGGGCCCCATCTGGGGAGGGGCTAAAAGGGCCCAGGGCCAGCCGCTGCCAGCGTCGGAGCTCAGGAACACCAGCTGACTCCTATTGTGAGCACCCCACCGTCTTGTGTCTAGGAGGCAGCCAGTGGCTTCCCCACCTTGGAGAAACAGAGAGACACAGAGTCACAGTGCTCCACGATGCGGGCGGGGGGCACGTGCAGAGCTACTGCAGCGTTCATCAGCCGGGCCCCATCCAGGTGGACCCGGACCCCGTAGCTCCGCGCCAGGAGGTGCACCTGGGGGCAAAGAGCAGGCAGCAGTCAGAGGGGCTGGGCTTGGGGCCAGAGCGGAGGGAGGATGGGTCTCCAGGGGCCTCGAGGGGTCTAGAGTGAGCAGAGCTGGGCTGGTGTCCAGCTTGACCCCCTGGGACCAGAGCAGGCACTCTGCTGCCTGAGCCTGGGTGCCATCCTCTGTAAAGGGGGCTGATGCTAAGCGTTTTACCTCATGTGTACGGTGGGCTTGCTGCGGCCAAATGCTGATGTGGCGCGAGCCATAGATGCCGCATCCTAATTAAGCCACCCCATGGCTCCGTGAGGGAGATGCTCTCAGCCCTTCCCATGGGCAAGGAGTAGGTCTGCAGGGTCAGTTAGCAGCCAGTTCTCACACCAGGGAGCCGCACGATTCAGCCCTCACACCCTGCACAAGTTGGGGCTGCTCTGGGACTCGCTCCCTGGGGAGAAGGGGGGTTGTCTCTGTCCTTGGGGCCTCAACTGGGGCAGTAGAGCCCTCCATATCTGCAGCCTAGGACCCACCACACACGTCCTTCCCACCGCAGTTCCAGCTGCTATGGGCACCCACGGTGTATATGAGGAGATACCGTCCCCGGAGAGGGGCTCCCCAGGACAGGAAGCCAGGAGCTGGCTGGGGGCCGGTGGGGGGTGGGCAGAGTGGTGGGGTAGAGCCTACCTGGCGTAGGTAGTCAATGGGGAGGACCCGGCCCCCTGAGCTGCTGTGGGTGTTCTCCAGGCAAATGAGCTCACAGACCGGGTGGTAGGGGCTCCCGAGGCCCCGTGTGACCACCCTCTCCAGCTCAGCCAGGTCCAAGGTGCCATGGGGCAGGTCTGGGAGGGGGTGGGAGTGCACCCCAGCGATCTGCAGGTATTGGGGGAGGAGGGATGGAGATCAGGTCCAGGGGCGCAGCGTCACCTCCTATCTCTGTCCCATCGGCTCCTCTCCAGCTCGGGGCCATCGAGCCTTCCCCTTGTGCTGCGGACGTGGGCACGGACATCCCAGCAAGAAGGGGAGGAACCAAGGACTGTGTTCTCCCGAGATGCGGGCCCTTCCCCACCGAGCGCCGCGTGCTCCGGATGCCCACTAGGGGGCAGCAGAGCACCAAGCACAGCCGGTGTCTGATGGAGGGGTACTGGGCCGCGGCTGCCCCCACGTGGTCAGTCTGGGAATGGCTCCCTTTCCCGCCTCCTTAGAGACGCCACCACCCCGGCCATTTCTTCGCTCTGCAGGTCCCAACACGATGCCGGGGAAGCAGGTTCCCACCAGAAATGCTGAGCAGCCTGTGCTGGCCCCAGGTGAGGGGTGCCGGGTCCTTACCTGAGCCACCCCGCCCAGCTCGTAGACGTGGAGGTGGCACTCCTGCCCGAGGAGGAGCTGGGAGCCCCTGCGCTGGCAGTGACACATCACTGAGATAGATGGGGGAGGGCAGTGTTGGCTCTGAGTCCCATGGGGCCCATCTGCTCCCGCCCAGCTCCCGGCTGAGCCCGGAGGCTAGCTCTCAAGTGCCTATGCCAATGAGGAAACAGCACCCCTTCAAGACACCTTACTGCTGTGTGCCAGAAAACAGTCCCGTGAACTACAAAAGTCTAGGATAACCATCCTGTGAGGTGTTGCACCCTGTGCCCTGCAGCCCACCTGCAGAGCATCTCCTGCTCGGGAAGCTGGCCACCATGCTGCCCCTGGGGGCCAAGCAGCTCAGGGCATGGGCATCAATCAGGCCCAGCAGGAAACAGAGGGCACATGCACACTGGGAAGCCAGAGTTTAATAAAGGGACAATTTACAAAGGTGTGGCAGCATGGAGGGAAGTCACAAGGGACAGAGCAAGACCCCCAGGCCATAAGGGGCAAGAGGGAGGTGTGGTTACCAGAACCCGGAGACAGGGCAGTGTGGAGAGGGCTGCCTGCCTGGCCCAGGGAGACCATCTGGGGAGGGAGCTGGGGGAGGAGCACGGATACACTGACCTCACTCTCCTCCCCTCCCTCATCTCCTGCTAGGGGCCCTCCGGGCTGAGCCCAGCAGAAGTCCAGATGGCTCAGACCCCACTGATGTTGTCCCAGCCTTGCCCCCAGCACCGAGGAGAGAAATGCGGAGGGAGGAACTGGAGGGCAAATGGGAGTCACCCCACGCCGTGCTCACCAGAGATGAGGTTGGCCATGGTGTTGGTGGGCACAAACAAGGTCCGGTCTACCCCCAGCAGCTTGGCGGCCTTTTCCTGCAGCTCTGAGGAGGGAAGGGATGGGGGTGCAGGGAGACTCCATCAACAATGGCACGCTCCTTGTATTACTGATAACCATGAGCTCGAGTCCTGCTGAGGTGAGTGGCCAAGCCAGACAGACGCCCTGGTCCACTGGCTGCAGACTGTGGTCTTGGTGACCGCATATCTGGGTATAGAGGCCCCTCAGTCAACCCTTGGCACCCAGCCTCCTCCTGGGCCATGGTCCCCCCCAACACTGAAACTCTGTGGTTTGAACCCCCCTGTCCCATCCAGACCTCACACCTGTCTCACTTCCTTTCCCATCAGCCCCTTGCAGGTGGGGCCCTGCGGTTTCTCTGCTGACTTCCTCTCCCAGAACAGAAGGACAGGAGCTCTCAGAGGGGGAGACTCTGGGGGGTTGGGGGGTGGGGCTTCAGGCTCCTGCTCTAAAGCCTGCTGTGGCTCCCCTCTGCCTGTGGTATCAAGTCCGAAGTCTTTTAGCATGACATTCCAGGCCAGTGGGATTTGCCCTCTGCCTTCACCTCCAGGGACAGGGGGTTCCCGGTACCCCACACTCCAGCCACATTCCCTATCCGTATCCTAAACACTTTTCTCAACACCCAGTGACCCAGCTCCCTTCCCTGCCTGGGGGCTCCACTCTCCCTTTAAGAGGCTACTCTGCAAAGTCCCCCTTCCTTGTGAGTTCCATGCCTCCCCTTCCCCCCCCCCAGTTCCCAAGGCACTCTCTGGGGACACATGCCAGCCCCAGCACTTCCCCCACCCCATGGTATCTGTGTGTCTGGCAGTGGACTCAGCATTTTTGAAGTTCCAGGCAGCAAGTGTCTGCAGAATGCATGATCACCAGTCACCACCTGACCCCACACACAGGCCCTTGGAGCTCAAGTGGCAACCTGTGGCTTGTCCCTGGTACGGCAGAGGGTATACACCCTCACAATAGCAGTGATCCGCTATAGTGGCAACTCTCAACACTGTGTCTTGAAAATAATGCTCCCTAGGTTATTAGCGTCCACTCCTTGAGAGATGCAGCCTGTGGAAAATCCTCTTTTCTAGACCGGTTTTCCGTGTGTCTTCATGTGGAAAGGCAGTGCGTGCAGGACGATGGCTATAGGTTTTAGAGAGAAGACCTGGGTTCAAATACTGCCTTGCCATTTGCTGGGTAGGAGACCTTGGGTGCCACACTCAGCATCCCAGAGCCCTCCTCTGCAAGAGGAGACCACACCCATCTCATCAGGCAGCTCCACACCTGAATGCGCACACCAATCCCGGGGGCGTCCTGTTAGCACGCAGTTCTGGCTCAGCAGGTGTAAGTGTGGGACCCGAGAATCTGCATTTCCAACAGATTGTCGGGTGATGGGCCAGACTGAGCAGCAAGGCCGCAGGGTACGACGCCTAGCCTGCAGCTGAGCCGCCACCCCTGCGCCCCGGGCCACTTCTCCCGCCAGCACCACGGACAGCGCTCTGGGGTCCCCGCGACGACCCCAGGCCGCGGCCTGCGCACCGGGCTCACCGCGGACGGTGGGGTCCTCGCCGTAGTCGTCGTCCCCCACGACCGCCTCGGCCATGGCGCGCCTCATGGCCGGCCCGGGCTTGGTCACCGTGTCGCTGCGCAGGTCCACCACGTGCGCCGGGACCCCCGTCCCGTTCCCAGACCCCCGAGTCCAGAGGGCCCCGGGCCGCCGGGCCGCGGCCCAGGCCAGTCCACGGAGCATGGCGGGGGCGGTTCCCGACCCCCACCCCGACCCTTCCCAGCGAGGGCGACCGGGAGCGACGGGGTTGGCACGGCGGCACTTCACGGACTTCGACCGCAGTGGCGGACCTGGGCCTGCGGGAGTGCCCGCGGCATGCTGGGAGTTGTAGTTCGGACTTCGTCCCGGCGGGCTCCGCGCGAGCTCGGGCGGGAGGGCCCCGAGGCGTGCTGGGAGTTGTAGTTCGGGCTTCACGGCGGCGGGCACGGAGCGATGGGGACATGTGGGAGAGCGAGGGTATTGCTCTCCGAAGAAGCAACCGGGGCCGGACGAACGTTATCGAGCGCACGCTCTCCCTGGTGGTCTAGTGGCTAGGATTCGTGCCAGGCTCTAGCTCGGGCACCCTACAAATATTGGCGCAGTTAAGCCTCCTGGCGGCTCTAGGAGACGAGTACCAGTAGCATCCCCGTTTCACAGATGGGGAAACTGAGCCGCGCACAAGCTAATGCCTACGGTCACTTGGCGAGGCAGTGGCCAGGCCGGCTGTCTCCAGGGTCCAGCTCTGAACCACTGTGTTACGTCGCCCCTAAAGAAGTAGCGTCCCGTCACTGACTGTTTTTCTAGTACGGACCTGTCGAGTACCTACTGTGTGCCGGGCGTTGCCAAGGTGCCAGGCAAGGGGCGACAGAGACGGCGCAACCGGTCTGGGCCTCTGACTTCATGGGCCATACGGGAGGCCGAATTCGAGCGGTGCACAGAGAGCCCCCTCGTCCGGACCCCTGCCCTGGAGAGGTGCTCTGCCTTCAGCTGAGGGGCAGTGCAGGGTTGAGGCGTGAAGGGCACCGACTGACTCAGGTCCTCACTTACCAGGCGTGTGGCTTTGGACGAGCCTTTTAACCCCTCTATGCCTCAGTCTCCCTAACTCCAGAATGGGCTGTTTTGAGGATTCCATGACTTAGCGTGCTTAGGGCTGACCCTGGTGCCTGGCCGGGGTAAGTGCCACATATGAGTGTTCCCTTTCTTACTGCGGCTGCTATGACCATCCTTACTGGTCACAGCCCAGGGCCCTGGGGCTTGGTGCCGCTGCCGCGGGAGCACCGTGACTCAGCTCTTCCGCAGAGTGACCTTCCCTCACACAGGGAGGACAGGGCTCCCTCTGAGTGCCCAGCCCCACTCGGCTGCTCCCCTCCCTGGAATATGGCCGCAGATGTCTGTCCCCCATGGGAGGAGGTTGGTCCCAGAGGGGCCCAAGTTCCCCAGAAGAAGTGCCCACAGCTCTGGTCAGGGCACCCCTCATCAAAGAGGGCACTCACACCTTCATCAGAGGTCTGCCATGTGCCTGCTCCCAACTGGGTCAGAGGTCTGCCATGTGCCTGCTCCCAACTGGGTCTGGGGATAAAGGACAGGAAGAGCAGGCTGCTCTCGGGGCTCTGGTCCTCAGGGTGGGGACAGGATGCTGGCCAAGAGAGGAGCCCTGGGAAGAGGGTGGATGTCAGCACTGGGAGATGCTGCCATGGGCCTGGCTGAGGCATCAGGGTAGGCTTCCTGGAGGAAGCAGGGATTGGGCTGAGCTCTGAAGACAGAGCAGGTCACTAATCAGACAGAGGAGGAACGTAAGGCAAAAGCTCTGGGTAGGAGGGAGCTGGAGCATTGTAAATCTCGGAAGAAGGCCGGCCTGGCAGAGGAGTGAGCAGGGCTGGAGATGGAGCTGTATCCAGGGTTAGGGCGCCTTCCCTGGAGCTCTCCACCTCTCCCCCCCATGCCTAGTGTGGGCATCTTGAAAGAGGAAAAATCACAAGATCCCTGTAGGATCGGTGGCCCCAAGGAGTCCCATCTAGAGGAAGGGCTCATTGTGCCTTTCCCCGGACCCCAGTGCTCCTCTGGCCCTGACCCACAGTCTGCACTGAATTCCGGGCCCTTGGAAAACAAGCCCCTTATCTCTGAGTCTGGCTCCAGCCCTTCTGCTGGGAAGTGGGGGTGGGGAGCACAGGCCTCTATGGACAGGAAGGGAGGGGTTGGGGCGGCAGTGGTGGCTCTCAGAACAAGGAGTAAGGGGGCAGACAGCGGGGTCCCCAGGCACGTCCCAGTCATGGCCTCCTGTCTGCAGGCACTTCACGGTTTGCCAAGCCTACCCACCCACAGCCTCCCTGCTAACCGTCATAGCACCTTGGAGGAGGAGGCCTGGGCAGGGGGCTTAGGGCCATTCCACCATCCCAGGCGGCCACCAAAGTGACACAGCGGGTCAGCAAACCAGCCTTTGTCCTCCCAAAACAGAGCTGTCTCCCCAGAGAGCTGGCCTCTTCCTGGGGGAAGCTGGGGCCTCACAGAGGTTCCTTCTACCTACCAGGTGCTGCTTGTCACCTCCTACCTAGTCCTAGGGCACCTGGGCCAGTCCCCCTCACCCTGATGGTGGAGGGAGCAACAAAGGTGGGGGCCTCCCCGGAGCAACAAGACATCTTTCTTTTTTTTTTTTCTTTTTTAAGATATTTATTTATTTGAGAGCAAGAAAGCGAGAGTGAGCGAGCGAGAGAGAACACAAGCAGGGGGCGGGGAGGGCAGAGGGAGAGGGAGAAGCAGACCCCCGCTGAGCAGGAAGCCCGACTGGGGACCCATCCCTGGGACCATGACCCGAAGGCAGACGCTTCACCCACCCAGGTGCCCCGGGGGGCAGGTTTCTGAGGCCTTGTTGGGTTGGGGGGGCCTCTGCCCAAGGCTCGGTCTCAGGGGGGGTTGTTTAGGCTCTTGGGTATGTGTATCTGTGTGCACACATGTATGTCCGTGTGTCCATGTGCACATATGTGCAAGCACTGTTTGCATGTGCACATGCGACACCCATGTGTGCGTGGGTCTGTATGTGTGTACATGTGTGTAAGTGCGGGGGGCGGATGCGGGGTGCCCACGCATGTGTGCGCATGTGTATGTGTCTGCGTGCTTGTGTCCGAGTGTGTCCCTGGCTGCGTCTGATAATCTGAGTCATCCTGTTGGTGAGCTGCGAACAGTTCACAGCTCCCGGGCTGGGGAGGAGAAGCCAGAAGGCCCTGCTGCAGCCCCCTCCCCACTACCCCAGGTTACTGAGCAGACCCCATCCATCTGCTCAGAGGAGAGTCCAGCCCCTAAGCAGCTGCCATCCCTGGAGGTCGAAGGTCGTGGGATTGTCTCCGGCCTGCCCGCAGGTCTGCCCCACCCCCCCACATCAGCTGCCTCCTCCCCCAGGGCCGCAGCCCTGGGCTAGGCCACCTCCGGGTCCGCCCCGCCCTCTCCCCCAGCCAGGCTCTTTGTCACAGTCCCCTCCCTCTCACCGCAGGGCAGCCGGATGGCAACACTTGTGTTCCCCGAATGCTCCGGCCTCTGCCTCCACCCTAGGTCTTTGCACCTGTGTTCCTTCTGCCCGGAAATGCCCCCTCCCCCAACCGACGGCACGCGGCCTTGGTTATCACCTTCTCAGTCTCTGGGTCTCAGCTGAGCCGTTCCTTCTTCCAGGAACCCCCCTGACTCTTGCCCCAGCAGGGGAGGGAGGCGGCCCACCTTCTGGGGAGTGTCATCTCCTCTCCTTGCCCCCCAGGGTTATGAGCCAGGGCCAGGTTGCTCTTGGCCTTTGGAGTGTCCTGTATGCCCCATCTGGAGCTGGCCCAGGTAATTCCAGCTGAACAACTGACGAAGGGAGACACGTGGATCAGCTTCCCCCAACCCTGGTACCCCTGGGGAACGTGGACAGTGTCGTGGGGGGGCCGGGGGCTGCATCAGCAGCTCTGACCATGGAGGGCCCTCGGGCCCTGTGCAAAGAGGAGGCCAGGAATGGATGAGGAGCAGACACTGCTCCTGCCTTGGTCTCTCCATGAAGGACACTCCATGGGGGTCCCCAAGATAGCCCCTCCCCTGGCCTTCTTGAGGTATCTAGTTGCTTCTCCCCTGCACAGTGGGAGGACACTGGTCAGGCTTGGGGGGAGAGCAAGACATGAGTTCTGGGGTGGCTGCTTTCACGGCACCCCCAGGCTTGCTGGCACCCCTCCAGGTGCAGGCTCTGGGGTGTGGGCGCACACACACGCGCAAACACACGCACGAGCCGAGTTCAGCGTGCGTATTCCTGTAACGCTGGGCCCCTGGCAGGAAGTGAGTGGCGGGGAGGCTGCTGCTGGGAACCAGGCGCTGGCCCCACTGAGATAAAGGGAGGCAGCAGATTGGAACTGGAGATAGCGGCCTTGGGTCCCGGTAAACAGGTTGGGGGAAATGTCCTTCCCATCCCAGCCTCTTGGCCCTGAGCCCGCAGGATCCATAGGGCGCTGGCCTGCATCCAGGCCCAGCAGCCTGGGAGTCAAGGGAGAACTGTTCGCACCGTAATCTCCCCAGACTGGGGGGAGGGGAGGAGGTGGCAGAGGAGAGAGGGCTGGGCCCCACCTCAAGGCCACATGTGCTGTGGGAGAGGGAGGGGCCGGGAGGACGACCGCTCCAAGCCCGCTGCGGAGGGAGATGTCCGTGGCACGACAGATGGGTCACCTTCAGGGCCATCTTGGGAAATCAAAACAGTGGGAGACCCAGGGAGAATGGGGGCAGTGAGGGGGAGGGGCCTGCACCCCACTGCCCAGCAGGCAGGCTCTGCAGCAACCCATGGTGGGCTTGATATTACGGCAGCTGGGATACCCTGCGCTGTCCAGGCCGAGGGAAACCCACACAACCTTTACCGGCACCCCGCCAGGGGCAGGGCTGGGTGGGGGTCTGCCCAGCCAACGCTATGCCCAGGGCCCCGCACAGTGGGTGCTCAGATACACTTGTGCTTTCAAAAACGTCATATCATACAACGGGAGACAGAAAAGTGCGTGAAGCATATCTGCCCAGTTTTACAAATAAATATACATAGAGAAGGAACTCCCGTGTCATTACTACTCAGATCAAGAAATCGGACATCGGGCGCCTGGGTGGCTCAGTTGGTTAAGCGACTGCCTTCGGCTCAGGTCATGATCCTGGAGTCCTGGGATCGAGTCCCACATCGGGCTCCCCGCTCAGCGGGGAGTCTGCTTCTCCCTCTGACCCTCTTCCCTCTCGTGCTCTCTATCTCTCATCCTCTCTCATTCTCTCTCTCTCTCAAATAAATAAATAAAATCTTAAAAAAAAAAAAAA